TCATTTTATCAACTTTGCTCACTTGGCAATGGATCATATGTCGTTAGTCTGCTCCCTCTGGTATATTTCCACTGATGAATCAAAGTTTTGAGGCAAAGACTTGGCAGCTGTGTGTACGTCTGATTAAACTAGTCACTGTTAGATTATTCCTTTTTATTTAAAGTCAGTGATAAATTGCATTTACTCACAGTATGATTATTGTGACTCCCAGTGTGATGCATTTTAAAGAAGGGTGTTAAACACTTTTATTAGTTATAACAAATTTGATTGCCTGTGGCACAGGGACATCAATAAGTTGTGGGCAACTTGAACTGTTCTTCATTCAAACATTAGTGTTTTGGCAATGGCAAAGCTTACACGTAAGGTATGCCGATGATGACAAAGAGATGAACATAAGCTCTAGAGAAATACATATCCTGGAATTCCCAATATTCTGGACAAATGGTAACAAGTTGGCAAAGAGTCCAGCAAAGATAGAGGAATTTAGTGAGAGCTTTCCAACCATCTTGGTGCTTCTAATTGACTTTTCCAATCAACACCAAAGCTACTTTGTGTTTCTGTCATAATGGCTCCAGATGTGGCTCAAAGGTAACTTTTATTGAAGAAAAAATACTTTCACTCTGTGCTAAGCCAGTTCCTTGCATCAGTTGCTGTAGCCTGGAAAACATTGATAAAAAAGCAAAATGGTCTATTGGAATCTGTTGCCATAACTTCTGACAACAGATTTAACTTTTCCTCAGTTTTCAAACTACCTTGGTCTGCCAGGACCACCCTAATCCTAATGTACCTATTACATCCCAGCCTCACACTTACTGACTAGTCTTCCCATACTACTTGATCCTGAGTCTCCTGCACTCTGAAATGCATTAATCCTTGCACCTTACCTTGTCTCATTCGTGGATGGTCACATGGCAACTTTTCAGCCTCAACCCTTGAGCAAGATAACTGGAGGTACAAGACAAAATAAAAGCAGAAAGAAGCAAAAGAGACAAGTTCAAGTCAATCAGCATTTCAACAAGATTTGAAAATTGAACTTGTATAGACATTTCAGCTTTTGACAGAAGGTCTCAATCTAAACTCGTAATTTGGTCCCCAGTTGCAGTCAGCATCAAAGCAAGGCCTTGCTTACCATGAAGTTGGTTTAGCTGAGAGAGCTAGTGATCTGACTACTGAGAATTTAATCTCTATCACTGTGCAGTGATAATGGAATTGATTGCAGAATTATTTACTGGACAATGCCAACTTAGAACTGCAGTGTTCTCAAACTGAACAATTTTCCCATACCCGACAAAAAGGGAAACAAAAATATAAATGTTACTTTCCCCCTTCCCGACCCCAAAAAAGAAAATTAAACATTGGGACATACACATGAAGATAATAGGTGAGATATTATGAATTTTAAAATTTCAAAAATTTAGTTCATACATTTAAACAAACACTTGAGACACCACTTTTTTTCAGAATCAGTTCTGTTGTTCATTAAATTTACTTAATCAAATAGAGTAGATTATAGAATCCCTACCTTATCCCTAGAACCCCACATATCCCACGGCCAATCCATCTAACCTGCACATCTTTGGACTGTGGGAAGAAAACAGGGAGCACACGGAGGAAGTCCCTGAATTTAACACAGACGCTGCCCAAGGGTGGAATTGAACCCAGGTCCCCGGCACTGTAAGGCAGCAGGGCTAACGACTGATCCACCCTGCTGCACAACAGTAATACCACTGCACTAGTAATCCAGAGGTAACTCTAGTGATTAGTAGAGTTTAAATTCAATTCATAAATTGGGAATTAAAAGATAGCTTTAGTAATAGTGACCATGTAACCTTTGCTGTAAATACCCAGAGAGTTGAGTTCTTGAATTAACCTTAATCAGAAGAAATCTGCCATCCTCAGCTGTGTGTGTGTCCCTATGTCAGAAACATGAGTGACAGGTCATAACTTCAGTATTTCTGTGCTCATCTGCACAATTCAACATCCTGGAATTGCATATTTCAAAGAGAAAATGATGACAGTTGTCAAATGCGCCATGAAGAATCTTCTGGACACCAACAGACCTGCTATACATTTCCAACACTGTCAAAATGTGTACTCTTTAATCTTCAACCCTACCATTTGTATTTGAAAGGTCATCAATAAGTCCTCTCCACAGATCCTGCCAATCCTGCTGAGTATATCCAGAATTTCTGATATTTTAAAGTACTTGAATATTTTGTATTACTCCAAATTGTCTGCTTAGTAACACATTTCTTCCTATTGCTAATAGAAACCACTTCAATTAAATACATACATTCGAAAGGTTTCAGAGATCCAAATGTTGAATGCAACATACATTTTTCTTGATCTGAGAACTTTTTGAGATGCAAGAATAGGTATTTACTGAATAGTTAAAAACTACTGTTAGTCAGTAAAGCAGGCCTTTTCACTAAATTAACTGCAAATTCTAACAATGAACAAGCAAGTAACCATAATACAGCATATTGCTTTGATAGTATATTTAAGGCTGTTCCTAATTAGGATAGTGGGAGTAAAGAGGAAGTAAAACTTCAAATTGCTACTGTTTGTAATTAAAACACAGAGCAATTGTTTTTAAGTATGCAACTTGGTTTGTGATTCTGATGGGGAAAATAAATCAAAAGCTACACAACACCAATATTGTGATAGACCGGTAGATATTAAAGCTCTTTTAGAGCAAATATGTCAATTTTCAAACAAAATCAACTGTGACTCATTAGAATCAACAACCATTTACTTTGGTTTATAGATGTAACATAACATGTATACTATTTTTAAATAAGAACCATATTAAATTTTAAACTCGTTAATACTTTCCACCACTCCTGCTGATTTTCTTTCCATTCTAAGGATGTGGGTGGAAACATAAATTGTAATACTTTTCCAATGTTGGAAGATCTGCATAGTTCAGCAACAATTTTTTAAACTTGAGAACTGATTGTCAAGGGCAGTGGTCCATTGGCTCAGGAATCACTAACACCGCAAGTCTTAAAAGAGATGAGGAAAATCACCAAAAGTTGGCCTTTAAAAGCCTGAATAGCTACTAACATGGCCATTACGTACAAGCCTTGAGTCTTTAGCGGAAAGCATATTATTTGAATATATGTGACGACAGTGCAAGAGCAAAAGACATGAAAGTAGCATGTCCAGGAGGAGAAATACACTTAAGATAAAATGTTGGATTAATAAAAATGTCAAATTTTAAGATGTATCTTAAAGGATGGAAGAGGTAGATAGGCAGAGGGGTTTAGGAGGGAAATTCCGGAATTTGAGCCAAAGTTGTCAAAGCCACGATAACCAACGGTGGGACCATTAAAATCAGGATGGTCAACAATCCAAAAATTGAGCAAGGATATCAGAGGACTGCAGGAGATTACAGAGCTAGAGAAGGGTGAGGCAAAGGTGGGATTTGAACGCAAAAGTGATATTAAAAATCAAGGTTTTACTGAGAGTCAATGTAGGTCAATGAGTACGAGAGTGATGGGCGAATGGCACTTGGTTTAAGTTAGAAGATAGGCAGCAGAATTTAAATGGCAAAGTTCATGAAATGAAGAACACGGAACAGAAGATGACAGAACCTGGAAGAGATGCACAGATGTTTTATGGAACTTTTCTCTATTATCAAAGGAAAGGGATTAAGGCTGAAGAAACTTTGGACACATAGGAAAAGAAGCGACATAGAAAAAGTTCAACAGAAACACTTCTCCAACTTAAAAACCACGTACTAAGGGGAAGGTCATGTAGATACAATCAACTACAGACCATTGCTGAATTGCTTATCAACAATATACATATTCATATAGATTGGCTACAAGATCAGGTCCAAGGATCAGAGTTCAGCGAGCAGCTCAGTTCTTGACTCTCCGAAATGTATTCCATCCTCAAGCCACAATTTAGGAATGTGTGTAACTCCTTTCCCATTTACAGGATGACTGCAGCTCCAATTACACTCTAATAGCTCAATATTATCCAAAAGAAAACAGCTTGTTAAATGGTACTTTGTTTATTACTTTAAATAAATACTCACTCTCTTCACCAATGACGTACAGTAACAGTGTGCACCATTTACTAGGCGCACTAGAGCAACTCACCAAAGCTCCTTTGACAGTATCATCCAAATCCAAACCTGTTGCCATACTAGAAGGGCAAGCGAAGTTGGCACATGGGAATCCACAAATTGCTAACCTTACTCAGAACAAAATCACCAAACCTTCACTGTTACTAAGTTAGAATTGTGGAACTTACTTTTGGGACAGCACTGTGGATGCACCTACACCACTGACCGCAACAGTTCAAGATGGTGCCCAACCAATATGGGAGGGCCAACAAACTGCTGGCCTTCCCAGTGGCACCCACATCCCCATAACATAAAAAATTGATTAGAAACAAGTACAAGACTAATCTCATGAGATACTTCTTCACACAGTGATCAAAGTTTGGAATGGTGTTCCAGGTGCAGACACAGCAGGCAAACTGAAATAATTTAGAAGCAGCTGGATATTGAGGGAAATGAGCATTGGCTCTCATGAAAAGGCGAGTTAGATGGGCTCAATTGCTTCTTTCATCTGTCCTTATTTTTGTGATAATTAGGTATTCAAATGATGTGCATTTCACATCCGAATCAAACTCCAGGAGAAAACTGGAAGCCTCAGTGAATTTAACAGATTTCACAGTTCTGTAATATTCCCAGCATGTAATTTTTTGAACAAAATATATCCTATACAACCTGCTTGCTTACATGCACAGAACTTAAATGATAATGAAGTTATTTGTGTAACCAGAAGTAACAATGAGACTTTACTCAAAAATTATAAGCAACTTATGTACTCCAACAGGTGTTTTGCAAGACTCAGCCCTTCAATTACTTTTTAACTGTGATTAGGATCTGAAAAACCTCAAAAATGTTGCATTCCTGATGGAGTGTCAGGTCTGTAGGAAAAATAAGCTGCAACACATCTGTAATCTATTTTTCAAAGCAAACATGAGATTTTACATTTCCCTTTAATTCATAATTTTACAAAGTCAAAAATAATTAACATGGTGACTGTACATAAGTCTATGCACGTTTGTAAGATGTAGATTCTCTCGCTCCAGAAGTTGTCCTGACTTCAGCATTTGGGCATAGAACATTAGTAGCAGACTTTTCAAGGTGTTGACCATTCTCTTCCCTTCTCCCAAGTTTGAAAATGCACGGTGGTTCAGATGATGTGTGGAGAACAAATCACTGAATATCATCATCATCAAAGAGGTCTTCAAAATCTAAACAGTTTAAACAGTAAGTACAGTTAATATCTTCAAATCAAGATACACTATATGCTTTCTCTATTCTCTTTTTCCTCCCTCTCTTACACTCTCCATCTTCCACCCATGAGTTATTGCACCTAATTTGCAACTGCAATCAAAATTAGAAAAACTGAGTTATCTTTATGTTTTTATGAATTCAATCATTTTCTTTTAGAAGATTTCTCACACGTGTCTGATTTATCCTACTTCCCTTTTGTAAGCAAAAAGTAAAGAGAACATAAGCTCCAAGAAAAGCTTCGCACAGATCGCAGTCAACAGTCGGAGTCCAAGACATGTTGGATGACATTTTTCCACCTCCCACCATTTGTTGAGACAGATTGAATGCTTCTCAATTCAGGTATCTAAAAGCACTCCCAGGCCAAGTGTAGCACAGCAAATTGCAAAGCTCCCTCCTCTAAGACCCAACCATCAGCAGTCTGCACCAAATGAGTCGAGGATTCCTTAATTTATATCAACCTCATCACTGTTATGCTGGAAGCTCTCCAGCCTGGAAATCTATTGTTCAGAAACATCACTTGTTGAGAAATGTCTGAAGAAGACCCGGTATCATTTTAGTACAGTATGTTGAGGTGGATAGATGGATGATACATTTGAGAAGTAAAACAAATTTATATTGTTTTATGTTTTATCCTCTGTTTCAGATAAGTATTTAGTCCTATGGCACTTTCCATTCACACACTTATAGATAGGTATTTAAAGTCTTTCTACAATCCAGGATATTCTGAAATTGACAATGTCTTTGCTCCAAGAATTCCAAGGGGTTGCAGTGTAATTGAACTAGATCTCTTGTTCAGTTTCTAAAAAAATATATCAGGCTGTAGCCACATTCAATATCAGAATTGACATCTCATGCATGCTGTGGTGCAAGATCTTGGGTCTTTTTCTACTCATACTATCCATTATCTATATTTTATACTGCCAGTTAAGAAACATAATAGCCTGATTCAGAAGAAAGACTGTGCTTCATTATATCGACCACACCAACAGACATTTCCCAATTAGCCACTGAAGTCTCTAAGTAAGCTTTTCAATTTAGTGCCAATGTGTAGGGCTACATGGAAGTTATGCACTGGCAGAGCACTGTTAAGACTGTGAAAGCAAAAACGAATAGGGAGCTTCTAGCCAAGATTGTCAGCCACTGATTACTGAGGAGTAGAGTGGAACTGCTCCCACAATTAGATACCTTCATCGGGGAGGCAATGGCCTAGTGGTAAATCCAGACACCCAGATAACATTCTAGGGACCCGTGTTCAAACCCCACCATGGCAGATGGTGGAATTTGAATTCAATAAAATATCTGGAATTAAGAATCTAATGATGACCATGAACCCATTGTCAACTGTCGGAAAAATCCATCTGGTTCACTTATGTCCTTTAGGGAAGGAAACTGCCATTCTTGCCTGGTCTGGCCTATATATGTCTCCAGACCCACTATGGATGACACATTGGCACTAAATTGAAAAGCTTACTTAGAGACTTCAGTGGCTAATTGGGAATATGGATGACTCAAATTAGGGCAATTAGGGATGGGCAATAAATGCTACCTGGTCAGTGACGCCCTCATCCTGTGAATGAATTTTTTAAAAATTGTTCGCCATGACAAGTAAAGGAACAAACACAATGCTGAAGTAAAATAAATCGAAAAACTGTGGATACTGGACATCTGAAACAAAAACAAAAACTGCTAGTGATGAGGAGTCACCAGACTTGAAACATTAACTCTTGCTTTCTCCTCAGAGATCCTTCAAGAATGCTGGAGAATCTCAGCAGGTCTGGCAGCATTTGTGGAGTCAAAAACAGAGTTAACATTTTGAGTTCACCATGGCTGTTCTTCAGAACAGTTCTGAAGAAGGGTCATCGTGGACTCAAAATGTTAACTCTGTTTCTCTCCACAGATGCTGCCAGACCTGTTGAGTTTCTTCAGCATTTGGCATTTGTTTCAGATTTCCAGGGTCAGCAGTATTTTGCTTTTGTTCAAGTAAAGTGAGGGACCTCGGCAAAGCCTAAAAATCACACTGTTTCTGAACAAGAAGAAGGCTCTTCATAGCAACGCTCAACTGAAGCCTTTTCATTCCCTAAACCACAAATTCCTGTCAGTGGAACCCACTTAATCCGATTGAATTAGTTGAAATGAATCAGTGTTTAAAATGTTAGACACATGGAAGGACTGAAACTTGGGATCCCTGTACAGTTTAGGTCAGGTCAGTTAACCATAGAATCTAACAAACTTCAAGTCAATATTCATATTACGTTGCATTCACTTTTTAATAAGGTCTCAAATACTCACCACAGAATTATTTAAGCAAGATTTGCAATGACCCCACTGTCAAAATCTTTAACAGATTAAATGAGAACTCTGGACAAAAAGCAAACAATCTTTTGGAACATTTTCAAAAGATTTTTAAAAATTCACAAAAATACTTTTTTTTTATTATTGCTTTGGCACGCACAAGCAGGACAACCATTGCATTCCTAGTCTTGGGAAGAAAAGCATCTTTAAAGGCAGTAGAAAGATTAAAATAAATGCAGTCCTACATTTGTTAGATAACCCTCCATGGTTGCAGTATTAACAACACAGGATACGGGAAACCCTTCTAACTTGCATCTTCATGCAATCTAAGTGTAACAGTGCAGACAATGTCTATATCAGTATGTTAGAATCAACCAACCTTGGTTGTTGGAACAGAAAATACAAGTTGTAAGTACAGCCAAATTTTGGGAACAGCTCGAGAAAAAAAGTGTTTCATTGCCACGCCACAGTATCTCAATCTGCACATAACTGTTTAACACTTGAAAACTGCTACCCATAGAAAAATGCACCACAGAACAAAGGTTATAATTTTCAGCTTTGAAGAAATTCATATCCACAGGAATCGTACTGCCCACAAAGTGTTTCAGTACCTATTAAAAAATTAATGATTTTACAGCGATTCATCATTTTTAATATGGCTAAGTAATTTCCTCTGTAAATATAACATGCAAACTCTGAGTAATTGGAGCTATAGGATTAGTACAAAAAGCAGAAGGGCAAACACAGTATTTAAAAAACAAAAGGGCAATTGATATGTTAGTAAAGGGATTTGAGTACAGGAATAAAGATGCCTTACTGAAGTCGTATAGAGTCTTGGTGAGAACTTACCTGGAGCATCGTGTATAGTTTTGAGCCCTTTATCTAAGATACACTTAAAGGTAGTTCAACAGACAGATTAGTCCCTGAGACGATGGGATTGCTTTTTGAGGAAGGGTTGAGCAAATTAGGCCTGTATTCGCTACAGTTTAGAATGATGAACTCATTGAAAATTGTAACATTTTCAGACAGCATGATTCGTTGGATGTAGATACAATGGATCAAGAGTCTAAAATCAGGGGATATAATCTCAGGCAAAAGGATGAGACAAAGAGGAATTTCTTCATTTGAATCCTCCATGCCAGAGGACAGCAGAAACTCAATCACTGAGCATGTTAAAATAGAAAATGATAGATTGCTGAAAACTAATGACATCAAGGGGTATGAAGTGCAGAAAAGTGGCAGAGAGGTAGATAATCACCAATGTTCTAAGAGAATAAAAACAAGCTCCACAGGCAGAACAGTCTATCTCCTGTTCCTATGTCTTGATTTTTGATAAAGCAAGCAAATAATCTGAATCTTGTGAATTTATTTGAATACATCTATAATTTTCATACAGTTTCAGGCTACGATGGGAACTTGAAGAACATATTAAAATAAATGAATTAGTACAAAAAATGTTAAAAGCAATATAAGTCTTCTTTTAATGTAAAATAATAGCGTGTTCCTTAGGGTTATGATTGATCTGTAACCCATCTGGCCTGTGTGATGTCAATTTATAGGAAAGTGTTATTATTAGGGAACTTGGATTCGATAGAATGGGATAGATTTTAGTTTTCAGTTCTGTGAAGAAGTCTTCATTTTTGAAGAAGTATTCAGAAAGTGACTTTTGAACAGTTGGTTCAAATATCATTTCCAAGAAAGCATGTGACTCTAACAAACTACCCATGAAGTTACTTGATGAAACATTGATAAACTGGAACTCTTGCAACTACAGAAACCCAAATGATTTTCAGGCCAGAATCACATTCCAGTTCAGAAGAATAGTTTCACATCAGCAGAAGGGCAGTTTAGTTAATGAAGTCTTCAAACTGGAAAGACGACTTTAGTTTCTAGCAGCCCAGAGAAAATGACCGGAAAAGACCCTGAATTTCTCTCAAGGTTCAGTGGAAAGAATCAGGGAGATACTCTGCACACGTGTGTCTCTGGGAGAGACAGGAATGAAGAGAATCACATCTGGTGCATGTGCAGCATGTCTGAAAGGCATCGCTGCCAAACTCATCAGCTTAGTGAGAAATTTAGAAGTTAAGAATGGAGTGATAATTGAGCATCTGTAAAGGATATTGTTGGGGAAAGGGCTGCATCTTTGTATTGCTGTTTAGGTGAAGAATTTGCCAAATTGTCATATATTTGTTTTATTCCTTCTGTGTAGTAAATTTTGTAAAAAGAATATTTGTATCCTTGTGTAAATACATTCAGTGATTGACCACCATGGCAACCAGACTGCAAAACTTAAACTTACGGTCTATCAAGTTTCACTCTAGGATCTGCTTTGCCTTCGGCGGTGATCAGTAAAAATGACAAAATGGTTCCAGTGTATTATTAGTAATCGTTCTCCTGCCATCAGATGACAACTACCTTCAGTAACATACTTACATCACTTAAAGCCTGCCAGAATACTGTTGGTCAGTAATGGCTCCCAACCAGTTTCTGACTGATCCCTTGATTATTTGAAATACTGTAAAACCTCTCAGAACAACAAATTGATTCATTTTATTCAACTCTGTACATCTTAATCACATTCTGGAAAAATTTTAAATCTAAATTCAGATTCCTAAATCACTCTATGCAGTTTGACAACTGGAGTTTCTTCTTATTCATTCTTGAG